ACAGTTTTGGATTCACAAAATCTATATGTGTAACATCGAGTTGTCCCCCCCACTTATTTACTTACCCCTAGGTATTACCAAGGATTTCAGGGTTCAAAATTTAGTCATTTGTAATGTGATTATAATTATCAGTTTTATAATATCCTGATTGTTATCTTAAGTGATATATAGAACTATCCCTACTTATTTTCAATAGCATGCATGCGCTGAATTGGGATTTTATGTATTGGATATTATTAATATTTATATTATTAAATCTAATGTCTGTCACTTTTTGTGGATCTGATTGGTCAGTTCCAAGTGTTGTGACCTTATTGTGTAATAGTTTTTTATTTATGGATAAGGTTGTACTATATACTAATTAATTTACAACAATTATGTAGAACTTTTAATAACTAATAAATATTAAATAATTTATGCTTTTGGAATGAAATTAATTGACTAAATGAAAAAAAAAAAGAAATCGTAAATAAATTCTATACTATCAATCACACACATAATGATGATAACCCACATAAATACAAATCTACATAACAATCGCATCTAAGACAGACTTAATATAAAAAAGCAAAAAGCATCATTTAAACAGCAAATCTAATTTATAAAAAATTTAGATAGATTTTAATATTGAATTTCATATAAATATATAAAATCCTTTTTTTACCTTGAAGTTAATTTAATCTACACAACCCATATATAAATATCTATTCTATATTATTAAATATTCTATTATATTTCTACATCATATCAGCATAGTGGACTTTTGATTTTAACACTAAATGTGACATAAAGTGATGATCATATTTATATTGTGCAACTAACCCTGTGATTGATCCTCCACATGTGCTTGGCATGTCAGTACCATCAATACCATCAACACCAACACCATCAACACCATCAACACCACAATCAATGTCATCACAATCTGATAATGCTGAACCAAGTGATAATAATAATCCATTTTACCTCCATACTCTTCAAGGTCACCAAGGCTCAATTTGTGTTTTGGCAGCATCAGGGAATAATTTAGTTAGTAGCAGTCATGATTACAGCATTAGAGCCTGGAATATAGTAACTGGTGAAAATATTTGGTGTGCACAAGGACATACAGAAGAAGTTTATTCCATTGTATTAGACATTAGGAGGAAAATATGTATCAGTAGAAGTGTGGATGGAATCATAAAATCTTGGAATCTTGAAGATGGCACCAATATCTGGACATCAGGAGGATCTTTGTGCCTTGATCCTCATATTATTAAACTTTATCCCTTGAGTCTTTCCCATGACAACCTTCTTTCAATTTTTTCAATTAGTGGACTTGACATATTGGACCTTAAAAATGGATCTTCTTCTAGACATGTGTTACCAACAGATGATACTATAAGTATGGGTCCAATAAGATCCTTCCATATTGACTCATGGAAAATCTTATTGGGGTCAAATATATTACAAATGTGTGATATAGGATCACTGAAGAAGATAAATAATTTAAGTGCAGGAACATTTGGGATATGGTATTATTGTCAATTATAACTAAATAATATATGATTTATCTCTTTAATAATTAAAATCTATATTAACTATATAGGGGGGTAACTTCCAACTACCGCTACTGTGTAATGATAGAACAAAGGAAAGATGATAGTTTCTGGCTGAAAATCATGGACTTTTACTGTATTTAATTTTATGTTAGATGGTATTAAGTAATTGGTTATATTATAATAATTTGTGATAGTTAAAAAATTTTTTTTCAAAAGATCTGTTGTTGTAATTGATATCTTTATATATTTTTTTTTATTCATCATATTTTTGATATTCTCATTTTGAATTTTCCATTTGTTTTTTTAAAATTTGATGACATGATAATGAGTGATTCAATTCAAGTAATTTTTATTATGGTTTAAAATTTTATTTTAATTGAACAAAAGTTATGTATATAATCAATATCACAGTAAGCATAATAACAATTTGAAATATAATCAAAATAACAAATTGCAAGTAATAAAAAATAATTATAATAATAAAAATATAATAAAAACATTAACAAAGGTACCTAAAATCATGACAATTTCAGAAAGCTCCATGCA